TCCCCAGGGATTACGAGATCGCGTGTATCACCGTTGTCATGATGCTAAATTAGCCGGCCATTTCGGTTTCCTGAAGACGTTACACCTAGCCAGACGTCAATTTTGGTGGCCTGGAATGAGAAGGACATTGAAACTTATGTGAAGGGCTGTCACATCTGTGCACAATCAAAGGTAGTACCCAAAAAACCAGTGGGACTGTTACAACCAGTATCTGATCCAAATCAGCCATGGCAGGACATTGGAATGGATTTTATAGTTGACTTACCGGAGGTACAGGGTTATACCATTATATGGACAGTGGTTGACTTGTTTTCAAAACAAGCCCATTTCATACCCTGTAAGGGATTGCCGTTGGCAAGAAGACTGGCCAGAATGTTTTTAACACATATTTATCGTTTGCATGGGGCACCTCGTCAAATTATTTCGGACCGTGGCGTACAATTTACGGCTCAATTCTGGCGTCAGTTCCTTCGATTCATTGGTACTGCTCAAGGTCTCAGCTCTGCGTATCATCCCAGTACCAACGGGGCAGTGGAGTGGGCCAATGCTGCTGTCGAGCGATATCTGAGGAGCTACGTATCCTATCAACAGTCGAATTGGGTGGAATTGGTGCCATTAGCGGAAGTCGCATATAATAACGCAGTACATAAGAGCACCGGCCTCACACCATTTCAGGTGGTGTATGGACGCGACTTTGTCCCGATGCCAGAGTGTGGGTCCCAGGAATCCCAGCCTCGTCACCCCAATGAATGGTTTAACCACGTAGGTGAGGTATGGGGTACAGTGAAAAAGGCCCTGATAAAAGCAGAACAAGCAACTAAACACCAGGCGGATAAAACTCGTAGCTTACAGGTTCAGTTTTGGGTGGGGGATCTAGTGTATTTATCGACTAAATATATAAAGTTGCAGGTGCCGTGCAAAAAACTAGCACCAAAGTACATCGGACCCTTCCGCATAGTCCAGATTATTAATCCGGTGACGGTGAAGCTTCATTTACCGAGTTTGCATGATAAGGTGCATCCAGTCTTTCACGTAAGCTTGTTGAAACCTGTAAGGGAGAAACCCCAAGAACAAACCCCAGGGCCCATCACCCCAGGGCGGTATGAAGTACAAGATATCCTGGATTCGCAGGTGAAGGGGGGTAAACTTTATTATCTAATCTTATGGAAGGGATATCCCCTGTCCGATGCCTCCTGGGTGTGGAAGGGGGATGTCTTTGCTCCCGACCTGATTCGTAGATACCATAGGAAATTTCCACGCAAACCTGGGGAGGGGCCGAATAACTCTTCATGTGCATGACAAAAGGCCTTACTCATCTTAGTATGCTTTCTTCCAGGGGGACATGTGGTGAGGGGGGCCGAATATCAGACCCAGCGCACCACCCACCCTCCAGTGGCCCCGTTACCGGCTCACACAATGGCAACATTGGAGAGGCCCCAACAGCTGATCCGGCGGGTCCGCGTTTCGCGCCGCCATTGCAACCACCGAGATGGGCAACCGGGATTCCTAGAGCAGCAGCTCCGTGTTTCGCACTGCTATTGCAACCACCGAGATGGGAAACCGGGATTCCTAGAGCGGCAGCTGATGAGCCCATGTGACCAGCTAGGATGGCTAGTAATTGATATACTTAGATGACTAGTAACAACAGCACGGACGAAACGTGGCGAACGGAGGGGAGGCTGCATCGTACTTATGTTTATTGGACTTCCAAGTGTCGCTGGGTCTGTCATTAGTGGACGTTGGAGCAGAGGACTGGACGGTAAAGCAGAGTGTTGCCGGCTTTGTTCATTTCACTTCTATGTGTGGGGCGTGGACTGGGGCAGGAGAGCGCAGCATTGTTAATTAGGTTATTGGTGGGGTGTGGGTTATCAACTGGGGTTGGGCGAGGCGAGGGTGGAGTATGGTCGTGGGTGGTAATTGGGGGGTGTGCTCTGGGCGTGGTAGGTGGCTGTATTTAAGGCACTGGAAGGAGGTTACTTCCAGTGCTAACTTTATGTCAACACAGTGCATTAAACTTGTTGACTGTTCAACGTTCCTGTTTCTTGGCTTTTGTGAAGCACTACCAGGACGTTCTTACACTTTCATCTTAATTACAGAGATTCTACCTGTTGTGTCCTGAGCCTGCTGAAGCATTCAGCAGGCTCAGCAATGTTGCAAATGGTCCCGGGCAGACCAAAAGCTGCCTGGGACCAGACTGGCTGTCGCCAGCCTTGCACGCATGCGCAAGGCGCGAAAACAGCCAGCTTCCTATTGGCTGACACTGTCTGGGTTCAGGACTCTATAAATGGCCTGCGTGCCATTTTGCTGTTGCTGGTTGTAAGAAGAGATCAATAAAGAAGCTTGTTTGTTCACCATGTGTCTTTGCTTAATACCTCAACCTTGCAAACATAAAACTACCCGATAGTGATTGTTGCAATTTCCCCATCTACAAATGTCCCATTATTAAGGAAGGGCAAAGAACTGCATTTCAGGGCTCTGGATTGGAAGGGACCTTGGAGATCTTCTAGTCCAACCCCCTGCTCAGGCAGGAAACCCTATATTGGGGTCCCCAGTCCCTGGATTGTGGCCTACTATTGGGCTGTGGCCTATTCGCAACCGAGCTACGTGAGCGGCCAGCCATTGTGTGTGTGCAACTTGCACAAGTGGGCTTGCATGCATGGGCATATACAGGTCAACTTACAATCAAGCTGTGTGTGCCAGCCCGCTACTTGTACAAGTCAAGCTGCATGCATGTAGCCCTGTTTTCCCCTCCCCCCAAGCTGCCCTATACCATTTCAGACAAATAATTGTCCAATCGGGAGGCAGATTGTTCCACTGGTTAATTGTTCTAATTGTCAAGAACTTTCTCCTTAGCTGTAGGTTGCTTCTCTCCTTGGTTAGTTTCCATCCGTTGCTTCTTGTCCTGCCCTCAGGCACTTTGGAGAATAGTTTGACTCCCTCTTATTTGTGGCAGCCCCTGAGATATTGGAACACTGCTATGACGGCGATTTTAGACAATTTTAGTTGAACTGATCTGCCTCTGACCATCAGAAGCAAAAATACCAAATTACAACTCAAATGGCAAAATCCACTCGGCATGAAACCTTGTTGAGGCTGTTGTCATCTCAAAATCTGTGTAAAGTCATTTTTCTGTGTCAGGGAACGTGGTGCCCAGAAGCTCACTCAGATTACAGTGTGCCTCTGAAAGCCATAATTAAGGAATACAGATAAATGAACCTCCTCATTTAATCTGTGGGGTGATCATAAAGTAAACTCAACCGATCTTGGATGATGTAACCCTCAAGAGAAAGACTTTTGAAAGAGATCTGTTTGTTCAGAACTTGTTGGTCCAGTTAAATAGTGAATAAAAAAAATGATCAGTTGACTGATCATACCTGTTGAAATGGTATAAGAGAAGGCATCGTGGTGTACGTGTCACCTATTGTTAAAAGAACTACAGGGCAATATAGAGCTCACGGACCAAGAAGAAAGCAAATTAAGCTTTAAGACAATTTTCTTTGGCCAGATAGGGGAAAAGAAATCCCATCTCTGATCTCAGGACCTTTCCACCATGGAAACGATATTGGGCCAAACCCTGTGGATGTTGGTATTTTACTTTTGCATTTCAATCACGTTGTTATTCCTCGGGTGGATCCTTTACTTTAATATCATCGGCATGCATATCCCGCCAGGAATCAGCCAGGGGAGAAAACTGCGCCTTCTCTATTTGTTTGTAAGAATTCTTTTCGGACTGGTAAGTCTCTGCCTTTGGACTCTAGCTTTGCTTTCAGTTGGTTCGGCTGAATGGCACAGTCCTACACTTGGTGTACCTGAGGATGCACAAGCAAGCTCAGAGAGCACCAAGGACCCCTCCTTTCAACCCTGAGCTCCAAATATTCTCTTTTATTAGAACTCACTCTGGATAGCATCTAAACCAGTGGTTCTCAACGTTTGTGTGACGGCGACCCCCATCACACAAACGTGCCGTGCATGCGCAGCGCGCATGCGCGGTGGCGCCCCATGCGCTGTGCGGCGGCGCCCCCATGCGCGGTGCGCATGCACGGCGGCGCCCCCTGAGGGGGGAAAATGGCAGATCGCCTTCTTTGGTGACCCCCGTAAAATGGACGATCGACCCCAAATGGGGTCGCCACCCATAGGTTGAGAACCGGTGATCTAAACAGATCCTTTGTGTGTTATTCTTTGGTTTCTTTCTTGTCTTTCCCCTGTGCAGGCCAGGATTCTGGATAAACTTGGCATCTGCCATGAATTTTTCATATGGAGGCTCCTTTGGAATGGAATACATCCCAGGAAACCATCTGACTTGATTGTCAAGGAAATGCTTTTTGACAGAGTGCCGGTGATGGTCTGTTGTCCCAAAAGAGCAAGTCCAGAGAACAGACGAGGACTTGTCTGGATCCACGGAGGAGCAGGCTTGTTTGGAAGCCCCCGTAGGTTTTCCAAATAATTGTTTGATTGATATGAAAGAAGGACGGACAAATGTTTGGCTTAAGGCAGTGATGGCGAACCTATGGCACGTGTGCCAGAGGCGGCACTTAGCGCCCTCTCTGTGGGCACACTTGCCGCCATCGTCAGCTTGCACAGGTCCATTAGGCCGCCGCTGGCACCCAGAGCGGCAACCCCACCCAGCACAAAGGAGGTGAAGCAGCTGGCTAGCAAGCTCAAGTAGAGGTGGTAGAGCACGCCCCCATGCGTCGCTGGCCTGTGTGCGGGGGCTGATGGTATCAGGCAGCAGCCGCCCCTGTCTCGCCTTGCCCTGCAGCAATGGCACCCCCGCCCTACCCCTGCCTCACCCCTCAGGACGAACCTCCTGCCAACGCCACATCCACCAGAGACCCCCTGGATCTCCCCCAATTCTGCCAGCCCCCACAGGCATCCCCCCACAAGCAACATCAAAATGGCCACACCCACCCCAGCCATGCCCACTCAATCTGCCATGACCACAGCAGCCACACCCACCCAGTGGGCTACGCCTACCCCCAATGCGGCCTTGGCACTTTGCGATGAATAAGTCGGTTTTGGATTGTGGTTTGGGCACTCGGTCTCTAAAAGGTTCGCCATCCCTGGCCTAAGGGGTACCCTGATTCTTCTGCAGCACGCCAAGGACCAAAGGGGAAAAATGCATGTGCTCAGATAAAAACATACAAGTTAGGGGTGGGAGAAATGGGACATTCTCATCTGAACATCAATTCAAACAATTCTTTGTGATATTTCAGGATCCCACGAAAGGCTGTGCCACTTCATTGCCCGGCAAAGTGACACTGTGATCGCATGCATCGGGTAAGTGAGTTCAAGCTGACTTGTGTCACAGAAGGCACAAAAGCCAACTGCCATAACCTCTCTCTCTCTCTAGACCAGAGGTTCTCAAAGGGGTCGCCTAAGACCATCGGAAAACACATATTTCCGATGGTCATAGGAACCTAGACACCGCTCCTCTATCCATCTCCGCACAGCTTCGAACTGGGGACCGTTGCAGTGCCAGATTCGTTTCTGTCGAGCATCTCCTAAGGGAGGCTGCGCTGCTTCGCGGCCTTTTCTGTGGAGGAAGCTGAATTAAGCTCTGCCAGTGCTGTCACCCTCTTGGCTCTCTCTCTCTCGCTCTCTCTCTCGCTCTCTCTCCCCGTCTGGGCGCTTTTCCAACCAGGCTGGGCGAAGTCTAGTCCTAGACTTAGAACAGTTCATTTAGTGACTGTCCAAAGTTACAATATTTAAGAATACAGCCCCAAACCTCTTATGCAAACAGAATGCATCCTGTCAGTTGTAGGACAAATAACATGAGCAAGCATTTTATTTCCTCCCTGGATACAATTCCTGCAGCTGCAGAAAAAGCAGCAAAAATAGAAAAAAAGGAGAGGGAATGTGCATTTCATTAATGGAGAACAAAGCAACTGGGAGTAACTCAGACTTAAGAGGAAAATACTGAAATAGGCTCAAAATAAATAAAAATAAAAATAGTTGAGACTGAGCGAAGCAAACTGCCAGAAAGTGGATTTTACTACAGAAGCCAGACAGAGAAGTGATTCAGCAATGACTTCTGGACTAGCTAGTAAAAATCACCTAAATGCATGGTACAATTTATACTCTTTTTCCTATTTTAAGTTTTGATGAGATTTATAAGAAGTTTGTTCTTCTTAATTTCCTAGCTTGGTTTTTTTCCCTTTCAGCAGGATTGATTAATCCTATGACCCAGGGAAGGAAATAACTTGTTGATGAGGTTTTTGTGTATCTAGGTTAATCTTGTTGTAGGCGCTGGTGTGTCTGGGGTTAATCCTGTTATTGGTTTCTATGTGTATATAGGGCAGTGGTGGCGAACCTATGGCACGGGTGCCAGAGGCGGCACACAGAGCCCTCTCTGTGGGCATGCGTTCTATCGCCCGAGTCCTAGGCCTTCAGCTGGGTTTTATAAAACCTTTTCGCTTTAGGCCTCTGCTGCCATGTGCAAAAAAAAAAAAGGTTCAGTCAATTTCAGCTTCTTGCAGGAAAAAAAAAGATCTTGCAAAGTTGGAATTGCTTGATTGAACTTTTTAGTCCCACCCAGTCTTCCGTTACCACCGCAGCCACACCCAGCCAATGGGCCACACCCACCCGGCACTCAACGATGGATAAGTGGGTTTTGGGTTGCAGTTTGGGCACTCGGTCTCTAAAAGGTTCGCCATCACTGAGATAGGGCAAACCTGTCAGCTTTCTTTTGGTTTGTTCAAGGCTAGTGCTTATCACAGGTGGGGGAGGAAGAGAGAGGAGAGGAGAGGGGAGAAAGAAAGAGAGAGAGAGAGAGGGAGAGAGGGAGGGAAGGAGAGAGAGAGAGAGAGAGAGAGAGACTCTTCTCTGGTACTTTTGTTTTTTGGCTTGACTTTTCTAAGAGAGGGAAATGGATGTTTCTTTTGGAGCAGCCTTTCGTATTTGTAATAGTTGGTTTCTGGGCCTAGGCTTTCTACCTCTTTTCCTATTGTTCCTGCCTGTTTAATATTTCCCAAAGGTATTTCTTTTTCATGGGTATCTAGATGCTAACTTCTAATTATTGATTGAATCAATGATCCATCACAGCCATGGAGCAAGTTTCAGATTAACTCTGGAGTTCAGAGATCTCAAACCAGGAGTGGGGAACCTTGGCTCTTTGATGACTCGTGGACTTCAACTCCCAGAATTCCTGAGCCAGCCTGGCTCAGCTTGGAAACCTCTCCCTTTCCCCTCAGCATGGCTGCCTCAGGAATTCTGGGAGTTGAAGTCCACCAGTCATAAAAGAGCCCAGGTTGCCCTCCCCTGTCTTAAACGGTTGCTCCGCGGGGATTGCATCCCACGAGGGAAGCCGAGCGAGGGATTTCCTTTGGAAACAGGCCTTTGTAAGTCTAATCAGACAGGCTAAAGCTGACAGCTGCTCTTTACTAAACTCCCCCCCCCCAAAAGCAACGTTGCAAAAAGAGAAACCAGTGAAGGAGCCAAACTTTTTCCTTCAACCTTCTCCAGAGGAAAGAGGAATGCAACATCCGCCAGGTGTTTTTTCTCCAAATTGGCACCCAAAGCAAAGGGAAAAAACAGCTGCGGAGTTTTGAAAAACTGCCAGGGCTGCTACAACCCTACCCAGAACAAAGCGTCCCGTGCAGCCCAGCCTCATCCTGCACAGACGCCATGACGCCCGCACACTTACTTGTCCAAGATGAAGTACAGATTGAAGACCCGTAGCAGGCGGCGCCCCTCTCCTCTTGCTGCCTCCCTCGCCCATCCAGGGGACCATCAGGGTGTTCAGAAAGGAGGGGAAAAGGCTGTCTGGAGGTGGGGTTTTGGGTTTTTTTTTTTCACATTTCCCTTCTGCTCAGCTTTCTCTCTGATCCGTTTTCAGGGCACCTCTGCCTTGCGCTTCCAGCACAGCACAGCCACTGTCAGCCAGACAATTGGCTATTTCCGGTTCCTGTTGCTTTGCTTTGCCCCAGATTTGAGGAACATGGAAGCCTCCTCCCTCCTCCTGGCCCCCTCCCCGCAAAGGAAAGAGCCAAAATCCAGGGCTGATCTTGGCGCTTCTGCTGAGCCCTGACAGCCCTGCAGCTCCAGCCGTCTCTCGTTCAGGCTTGTGCAGTGCTGCCGCCGGTTCAGCTCATTCCCCTCCCCCCACTACCACTTCTAGGATGGTCCCGTACCACCTGCCACAGGTGGTACGCGTTTCACCAGCTGAAAAGCCCTGTGCTGAAATACTGACAGCCATAAGGAACTAACAAGGATGCCGCGGGTTACTTCAGAGTAGTTTACAGAATTACAGCTAGTCTTTGACTTACAATCACAACTGAGCCCAAAATTTCTGTTGTTTTGTGAGACAGTTAAGTGCCCTATTTTATGTCTTAACATAAAATGCCACAGTTGTTAAGTGAATCACTGCAATTTTGTTATGTTAGCAACGCAGTTGTTAACTGAATCCCACTGACTTTGCTTGTCAGAAGGTCACAAAAGGGGATCACATGAGCCTGAGACACTGCAGCTGTCATAAATATCAGTTCCCAGGTGCCCTAATTTTGATCATGTGACCACAGGGATGCTGCAACGGTCATGTGAAAAACGGTCCTAAGTCACTTTTTTCAGTGATGTTGTAATTTTGAACAGTTATTAAATGAACTGTTGTAAGTTGAGGACTGCCTCTATTGGTTGTTGCATGCTGCCCAGTCTTTTTGGGGTGGGGCAGCTATAATTTATTCATCTTCAGAATAGGAATGCCAGTGTATTTCTAAGATTGTATTTTGACTGACTGTTGCTTCAGATACCCCTTGGCGCCAGAGCACCCCTATCCAGCTCAACAACTCAGCTGCTACACTGCCGTATCACATTTTCTGAAGAATGCGCAGGACTACGGGGTGGACCCGAAACGGATCGTGCTGGCTGGCGACAGCAGCGGAGGCACACTTGTTGCCAGCACTGCTCAGCAACTTCTGATGACAAAGGACCTGCCACAGCCCCAGGCCCACATACTAATCAATCCTTACCTACAATGCCTGGATGTAAATTTACCTTCTTACCAGCAAAACCAGTCCATTCCCCCCTTAGTCAAGAAAGAGGCTGTTCGTCTTGGCACAATGTATCTCTCAGGAACCAGTGCTGGGGTCAATGAAATTATGGCCAATGCCCATGTCCCGCAGGAACTCATGGCAAAGTATCAGAAATGGATCAGTGCAGAACATATTCCGGAGGAATTTAAAGGCCGGGGTTACGTGCCGTTTGTACCTGGTCCATTTTCAGAAGATCTTTTCCAAAAATACAAAACAGTTTTCGACCCCATATTTTCCCCACTCCTGGCAGAAGACGCCGTCATCCAGCAGTTTCCAGAGACTTTCCTTTTAACCTGCGAATATGACATTTTCCGAGATGATGGCTTGCTCTATAAGAAGAGGCTGGAAGACAATGGTGTCCCTGTCACCTGGCTTCACCTCAAGGACGGATTCCATGGCATCACCTTGCTGATAGATATGGGGTCAATCCAGTTTCCAAGTACGAGGAAGAGTATGAATAGTGTAATCCAATTCCTAGAACGATTCTAGAAATCAAACAACCTCGTTCCTCTTCCTTGTTCATCTAGCCCTTACCTTACAGATCTGGATCTGAAGAGGTTATACCCTATAATTTCATTCATCTGTCCTGCTTAACTGACCTGAAGATGGTCCACCAACCCTTTGAAGAGACACATCCTTGCCCTCTCCAGCTCGTTCATAGCCCACCACTCAGGTAGCCTGGTGTCAGGCTGTGCAGGAAACTGTGGTTTTCCCTCTTACTCAAAAAACAGAATTTCCCATATGACAATCTAAGTGGCACAGAGGAACAGTTGGGTGAGTGGCCAGACGTCTAACTTTTGCGCTCTCCTTCTCCCTATAGTCAGGACAGTGGTTCTTTGGAATATCAAACTGTTGTGGAAAAAACCACGATACTTACATCAGAAGACAAGACCACGAAGGGTTGGAGAAAACAGGCTTTATTTGTGCACAATGGTTCAGAGCATTCACATGACAAATTCTGAACCCTGAGCTATTCTCAGGGAGTAGTTCTTATAGCATTAACCACCCACGCCTTAGCCTTAGGGTGGCTCTTATCTACCTTTGACACACTAAAACAGAGAAGTTTATATCTTGAAGCTACATAAGTAAAAGGAGAAGTTCACACAAACGGTTGTCTTACCACACCTTTCTGCACGGGTGCTATCTTACAACATCTGTGACTTTTAGTTGACACTGACACTTCTTGTAAAATGGTTTCTACATAGCATGAACACATCTCTATAATTATGACACACAGATTATATGATTTAGGTTACATTGCACAGCCAAACTTAATATTATCTATTAACTATTATCAGCAACAAGCATTTCTATTAAGATATAGATATATTTTGATGAACTTTGCCTGCCCACCTCAAAACTTATGGAGAATGTTGAACATGACAGCACAAGGAAACAAAAGCCCATCACCAGCCATCAACATCCCAATGAACCAATAGGAAGGCATCACATAATTGCGACTCACAGAATAGCCCAAAGTGCATATAGGTAGTCCTTGACTAACGATAACAATTGAGCCCAAAATTTCTGTTGCTAAGTGAAACATTTGCTAAGTGAATTTGCCTCATTTTACGACCTTTCTTGTCACAGCTGCTAAGTGAATCACTATAGTTGTTAAATTAGTAACACGGTTGTTAAGTGAATCTGACTTCCCCATTGACAGAAGGCAGCAAAAAGTAATTACATGACCCCAGGACACTGCAACCATCATAAATATGAGTCAGTTGCCAAGTTTCGGAATTTTGATCATGTGACTCTGGGGATACTGCAGCGGTCTTAAGTGTGAAAAACGGTTATAATCACTTTTTTCAGTGCCGCTGTAACTTTGAACAGTCACTAAACGAAGTGTTGTAAGTCAAGGACTACCTGTATTCCAGTAAAGAGAGGTTTCATGAGGATGGGCTCGGCAAGGGTTTGAATGCTCAGAACAGTAAACCTCTGGTCCTGGTGACCGACCCAGATTGGATCTTGCAACGTTATCCTGGGAGATGTATATGTGCCTTCATTTGTCATGGAAAACCCAGTGCAGCTCTTTCAGGAGACCATTATTCCCACAGGCAGACCAAAAAATGAACGAAAAAAGGGAATCAGCCCCCAAAAGCTCTGGAGGCCTATTGTGCTAGCCTCCCCCTCACCCATTGGCATAGGTTCTGTTTCCTAACAGGACCTTGCCTTGAACCGTGCCTTCCTCTCCTCTGTCTCTGAAGAGGCGTTTCTCTCCAAGAAGACTGATGCAGTAAGATCTTAAGGGACCTCTCCTTGTTGACGCTTCCATCTCGACTCTTCCTGTATCCGCTTTCCTTGCTCCCCCTTTGCTTTAGCTGCAGGTGGTCCCCGGTTGCTGAGCTTCTAGAATAGTGACAACTGACTTCATGTAAACCTTTTGAGCTTCAGTAAAGACTCAAGCAACAAATCCCAGTCTGTTTCATTTCTATTTCATTTCAGATTCATTTCTGCCCACCGCAAAGGGCAAGGAGAGAAAAGGGGAAGGTGGCGCAGAGGTGTTGTAAATGGCATGGCTATGTTGACAGAATGGGGTATGTGGGTCCGTGTCTGTGTGTGTGTTGGAAGGGCACGAACTAGCAAGCCCCTTTGGTGGGCAGAAGATTGTCAGTCCCTCATGAAACGGTGTGTGTGTTTGTGTGTCCCTGTCCGCAGCTCCTCTGCGATCAGGGACTGCAGGGGAAAAAGTCAGGGAATTGCACAGCCGGTGTCCAAATGGAGGCAGAGATGCTGACACAAACATATAGTTTTATATAAATAAACATATTAATAGTAAATAAGATAATCAGGCAAACAGCAGCATATCAGGTAAATCAACGTATTATGAGGTAAATTATAGAGGGCACTCAGAGGAAAAAAGGCGGGAAACAAAGAACCTCCCCCTTTTCACTCAAGGTAACCAATCAAAGCTTAGATTGCCTCATACAGTAGCCAGCCCTCTTCAACCAATCAGCTATAACTGTGTGTTCTGATTCATTGTCCAACCCTTCACTGCTCCTGCTATTAAATTAAATATCTTAAAAAAGAAGAGGAAAATGTGGAGAGGAAAGATGAACCAAGCCCCAGATTCGTCCTCAACCTGAATTAGGCAAAACAGCAACTGCCTCATCGGACAAGCCAGAATGGGTCTGTGAAAACCCAGGTAGTCCTCGACTTACAAATGCAATTGAGCCCAAAATTTCTGTTGCTCAGTTAGACAGTTGTTAAGTGAATTTTGCCCCATTTTACAACCTCTCTTGCTGTGTTTGTTAAATGAATCACTGCAGTTGTTAAGTTAGTAACACCGTTGTGAATCTAGTTTCCTCATTGACTTTGCTTGTCAGAAGTTCACAAGAGGTAATCACATGATTCCGGCACACTGCAACTGTCATAAATATGAACCATCCAAAGAAATATCTTGTCTAGTTTAATGAAGAGAAGGACTAGGTGTCACATGATAGCAGTGTTCCAATATTTCAGGGGTTTCCAGAGAGAAGAGGAAGTCAGTCTATTCTCCAAAGCACCAGAAGGCTGGACAAGAAACCATGGATGGAAACTAATCAAGGAGAGAAGCAACCTGGAACTAAGGAGAAACTTCCTGACAGTTAGAACAATTAATCAGTGGAACAACCTGCCTCCAGAAGCTGTGAATGCTCCAACACTGGAAGTTTTTAAGAAGAGACTGGACAGCCATTTATCTGAAATGGTATAAGGCAAAGGTCCCCAATCTTTTGGGCACCAGGGACTGGTTCCATGGAGAGAGGTTTTTCCATGGACTGGAGGGTGTGTGGTTTTGTGTGCTGCCTGCATCCCATGGATGGGCCGTTGCTTGTTTGTGTGGCCCAGTTGCTGGCATGCTGCAGCCTGGTACCGGTCCACAGACCGGGGGTTGGGGACCCCATATATAGGTTTGCTGCCTGAGCAGAGAGTTGGACTAGAAGACCTCCAAGGTCCCTTCCAACATTATCATTATCATCAGCAGCATCCAAATTTTGATCACATGACTGCGGGGATGACGTTATAACTTCAAACAGTCACTGAATGAACTGTTGTAGCTTGAGGACTACCTGCACTTGACTTTGCAGAAGAGTTTCCTTTAAGCCAAGCAGCCTTTCTCTCCTGGAATTCCCTAAAGTTGTTTTTAAGAGGGACAACAGGATGGCACCAGGAGGAGGAGACTTTGCCCCATGGTGGGGGGAAAGGGCCACTCCCAAAGGTTTCATGTAGAGCAAGGGTGTCAAACTCAATTTCATTGAGGGCCTCATCAGCATTATGGTTGCCCTCAAAGGGCCAGTTGCTGACTCCTTCTCTCCCTCAGGCTTCCTCCACAGAAGCCTCACTTATGCCATCCCCTTCTCTCCTTCAGGCTTGTCCCACCGACATCTCTCCTCCCTATTGCCTTCTCTGCTCTCTCACTCCTCCTTTCTACCCAAACCCCTCCTTTTTATATTCTCCTCTCCCCCATGCGTTCACTCACTGCCTGGCTGGCTTTTTCACACAGCACTCATTGACTGGAGCTGCATGTGCTGATTCTGGGGTTCCTGCCAAGCCACGGCAGCCTCACAGCTCCAGCTGACTCTTCCCCTGAAGACTGCGTGCAGCTGCCAGCCACCCCGAGGCAGTTGGAAGCCCCAATCAGCTGGAGCCACACGGGCCGATCCCAGGGCTTCAGCAGAGCCCCAGCAACACTGCAGCTCCAGCTGATTCTCCCCCGGGCCTCTCTGGTGCTGCTGCAGCTTCAGCTCACCCCCCTCCCACTACATACTCTATTCAGACTGTGAGTTAAAAACGCCTTCTTTAAATCAAGTCAGATAGATAACTCAGTAGAAATGGTTTCATAACAAAAAGAAATATATTTTGATCAGAAAGATTACAAAGATTACTTGCATTCATGCTGTGTTGTTACTTCTGGAAATTACATCTTTTGTTGATTCCTACAGGTAAAAGGATGATGCTCTCTTCCATACCATCTTTATAACTGCGCAGGCTCATTGGGTGACATCTGATAGCCCATGCTTCTTTCAGACAAAGACATTCCAATCTGACTTGTGTCCAGGAAGTCTCCCAATGCCCTTTAGAAACTCCTTCCACTGACATACTGATACATGCTCTCTAGTTAGGGTTACATAGAGCTATACGAGGTTACATAGATCTATATGGTTCAGAATACTCCCGGCTTGGAAATTTATATTTCCACTACTAACTAGCTGAAATAGCAAAAAACATAGCATTAAGGCAGTGGTAGTCAACCTGGTCCCTACTTCCCACTAGTGGGCATTCCAGCTTTCCTGGTGGGCGGTAGGGGTTCAATCGAGCCGTTTAAATTTTCGGAACCATCGAGCCCTCCGATCGGCTCACAGAGCTTTCCAGAAGGCGCGGGGTGTTAGCCTCAGCTGTGGAATCCCGCACGGAGCTCTCGGAGGCCAGAGAGCCTCGCCGAGGCGCGCCGTTGTTGCGAGGCTCCAGTCGACTTCCTCGACGATCCGTATCACAACAGAGGCTGCGCAACAAGATAAAACCGCAAGTGCCTCATTTTTGGCTCCGGGGGGTGGAAATTAAAGGCACAACAAACAACAAGCTTCCCCTCAGGGCCCCTCAAGGCTGGGAAGGCCTGGCCAAAATACAAGCGGCTGCTAATTTTGGCGCGGCTGCCATTTTGAGAGCCACACAGAGCCCTCAGTCATAGAGGTTTCAGGCATCTCTGACAAGAACCAGGCTCTCTCTTCATCCTACTGTGACAGGCACTGATCGGGGCAAACCAAACTCCACTGAGCATTCCCTCAAGACCAAGGTAGAGGCCATGTCTCAAAAAAAGAAATACGCTTGTGGCTATTTGCCAGTGTATCTGAAGATGGGTTTCATAGAATCTGTTGTAAATAAACAACACCCAATGTATTTATGTGTCATAAAACATTATCCAATGAGGCAATGAAGCCAAGTCGATTGCGAGAACATCTTTCTACAAAGCATCCAAATGATAAGGACAAGCCCATTGAATATTTTCAGGAAATATATAAAAATTTCAAAATCGTTCAACAATCGTTGCATCATTTAAGAAACAACATCCCGCGAACGAAGATGGATTAATTTGCGCTTATTGCATTTCACAATTAATTGCAAAAAGTGGTAAAAGCTATAATATTGGAGAAACAGTAATAATA